TGAAGAAGGGTCTAGGCCCGAAACGTCAGCCTTCCTGCTCCTCTGATGCTGCTTGGCCTGCTGTGTTCATCCAGCTCTACACCTTGTTATCTCAGATTCTCCAGCATCTGCAGTTCCTGCTATCTCTGAAACAATTTTAACCACCTTTCAAATACTGGTTTTAAAATAGTTCTTTCTCATTTCAGTCCACGGTTGATTTTTAAAAGCCCAAAATAAAAAAAAAAACTACACAATCCTTACACCATCAATCAGTCAGAAAGAAACAAGCAGATAGTCTGAGTTTCTCAAGCCCATCCCCCATTTCCAATGACTTTTCAGTTCATGGGGTTCAGAGTGAAATGCATGGCACCATAAGTGGCTCAGCTGTACAAGGGGGCACAAAGAATACTGATAGAATAATACTAAAAGAGGATTCTATAGTTAAAGAAGTGGACAGGTATTTTTGCAGCCATAGATGTAACTCCAGAATGATTTGTTGCCTCCATGTTGCCAGCGTCATGCTACAAAATACAGACTGGTGGTAGTCTGTATTAATACCAATGGCATTTCTTAAAAATGAGCTCCTATGGGCACAGTTTAAGAAGTTAGGCAAAATATTGAAAAGCAGGATCTGAAATGTAGCAATCTCTGGAAATTTTTCCCGAGTCTCGCACCAGCAAGCTTGGCAATAGAACAGATGAATGTATGGCTGCAGAGATGATATAGGAGCAAAGGCTTTAGATTTCTCGGGCATTGTGACTGGTTCTGGCTAAGGAAATACCTGTTACAAATCATAAAAACGTGAGAAATACGATCAGGAGTAGACCATTCAGCCCCTCATGTCTACCTACCATTCTACAAGGTCATAGCTGATCTGTCCCAGGCCTTGACTCTTTTTCTGTCCCAACTCATCATAGCTCCCAACTCCCCAATTTCAAAAATGTGTCTACCTCGTCTTTAAATATTTTTCAGTGATCTAGCGTTAAAAACACTGTAAGGTTGAAAATTTCAGATATTCACTACCCTCTGAGAGAATAAATTTCCTCACATCTGTTTTAAATGGGTGTGCTGTTTTTCAATAACTATGTCCCCTAGTTGGAGATTCCCCCGCTCATGGAAACTCTTCTCAACATCCATCCTGTCAAGCCTTCTCAGATTGTTCACCCCTCATTCTTATTTCTAATGAATAAAGGTCTAACCTGTTTAGCCTTTCCTTTATTAGTCAACCCTTTCATCGCAGGAATCCGCCCAGTGAATCTCTTTTGAACTGCCCCCAATGCCAGTATATCTTAAATACAGAGAACAAAACTGTGCATTATACTCCCAATGCCCTGTACGATTGTAACAAGACTTTCCCTATTGTTAAAATTTCAAACCCCCCCCCCCCCCCCCAGGAATAAAGGCTAAATTATATTTGTCATCTTCATTACTTGCTGCACTTGCATGCTAATAATTTGTATTTCTTGCACATGAACATCAAGATCCCTCTATCCTGCACTTTCTTTGGAGTCTGGCTCCAGTTAAATGATTGATAGTTTGTGTGTTGTTTCTTTCTCATCGTGACTTCAGACTTTCCAACATTAAATTCCATCTGCTAGGTTTTTGCTCACTCACTCAACCTATCTCTATCTGCTTGCAAATTCTGTATCATCCTGCAAATCCTCATCATAACATGCCCTCCCACCTATTTTTGTGAATGTTCAAATGTGAATACATTACGCTGTACTGTCATTCAAGACATTACTATATGGAGCAAATAATTGTGCCCCAGGACTGAACCTTATGACACTCCATTAGTTACAACTTTACAATCTGAAAATGATCCCTTAATCCTGATTCTGTCCTCTGTATGTTAACCAATCCTCAATCCATGCAAATACATTACTCCCAATGCTGTGAGCTCCTGTCTTGTGCAGTGATCTCTTTTTATGTGGCACCTTTTATTGAATGCCTTCTTGAAATCCAAGTACACATCATCTGTTGGTTCAATTGTATTTTATATCCTCAAAGGATTCTAGCATGTTTCTCAACATGATTTTCACAAAATCATGTTGACTCTGTTCGATTTTGTTAAGCTTTTCCAAATGTCCTGCTATTTATGTTTTTAATGATGGACTGTAGCATTTTTCCAATGAACATATTAGGTTATCTGGCCTATAGTTGACTGCTTTTTGTCTCCCCTTCTTGAATAGAAGAATCACATTAGTGCTTTTCCATTCTGCTGAACCCTCCCAGCAACCAATATGTTCTGAAATAATTCAACAAATGCTTCCACTTTCTCTGTAGCCACTTCTTTTACAATGCAAGTTTTCACATCCTGGAGATTTGTCTGCCTTCAGTCCCATGAATTTGTGAAATAGTTGGTCCCTTGATTTAGAAACTTCTTCTATTAGCACTTACTTATCTGATGTCTTTTGGATTTTACTGTCTTCCATTGTGAAAACTGATACAATACATTGGTTTAAATTATCTGCCGTTTCTCTGTTACCTGTTATCAATTCCCCAATCACATCCTCCAAGGATCCCACAATTATTTTCGCTGTTTTCTTTGTATATACAAGCACGATGGTTTGCACCCCAACAAGGCTGAGTCAAGTATCTTTGAGTTTTTACTTGTCTTGTTAGTCATGGTTTAAACCAGTACAGAAAGGGAATGGGAATGGAGGGTGAATTTAGATGGTACAATATTGGAAATGGAATGTGCAAAATTGGTGATTGCATTATCAAAGGTAGAGTAAACAAAAGTTAGAACGTAAAACAGTGAGTCTGCGGTGTTCAATGGCTATCTACTTGGATGCAAAGGATTTAGCAAATAAAACAGACAAGCTGAAGTCCCAGACAGAAATGTGGTAGTACTAGGGACTCGGAAATTGAAAGGGTGGTTTCTTGACTGCTTATTTGTCTTGGCAAGAGCAGATTAAAAGTTCCCAAGGAGTGTCTAGTATTTGTACCTTTTTCAAAGGTTTAATTACTCGACCAAGCTAATGCCGTTGAACCAATGTACTTTCACTGTTTGATGTCCCTCCTCTACTGCATAGCAGTTTCTGTTCACTCACTAGTAAGAACCTGCCTTGACTCTTCCCAGGGCAAAACACAATCTCAATAATGCCATTTCACCTCCCGACACTTTCTTCATCGACTTACTGTATCTCTCTACCTCTCTCTCTCTACCTCTCTCTCTTTATCTCTCTCGTTTTGTAAACAGCAATGATCAATCACTGTTTCTGTCACTCTGAGCTTATTTAGGCACTGCATCATCAGTATAAGCATCAACACATTTTAAAGGATCACTTTGGCTATTATATCAGATTATGTTCTTCTAATAAAAGGTTTCAAAGAGCTTCTATTTTTCTGTGCTGTGAAGAAATGCAGACTTTCACCAGGTGAGTGAAGTGTTCATTCCATAAGATCTCTGACCAGTATCAGGGACGCAGTTAGGACTGGGATTCACTGTTGTGCTTTCTTTACATACTATTTGAAGCAGGACTGTGTCACAGAAGCTTGAATGTCGTGTTCAGGGAGGGGAGGAATGTGATGTGTATGTCCTACCTGATCGTGGTGATATCCAGGTAAAGCAATTCTCACTGGGTTCAAAACTCATTACAAATTCTTTCTTTCCAGTGTCTGTCTCACATGCTGGATTTCTAGAGAACCTTGAGGATCTGGATTTAATCTACAACAATACTGTCGATGATCAGTCTTGGGCAATGTTTTTCCAGGAAATTAGTGGCCTAAAGGAGCTGTCTGAGCTGGACATTGGCCTACGACCTTTGACTCATCGAGCATGCGACCCATGGATCACCATTTTTCTGGACAGCCTGGTTAGGTTTCCCTCCCTCACAGAGTTCAGGATGCATCACTGGGTCCTTAGTGCTTCACAACGAAAACTTTTGGAAACTTTCAACAGGGATAGTAAGAGGAACATCCTTTTTCACTATTAGTCATTTGATAGATGCTGAAATAGAGATTCAAAGGTAAGGACTAAGCTCAGCACATCACAAATCACAGATTATTTTTAATATTCGTTCAAAATTGAGGTGCATTATTGAAAACATTTAACACCCACCCTGGTTGGTTCCAAGACATTGACTCCAATCCACTTTTCACATCCATCAAATTCTGTGCATTGACCGAATCTGGTCTGTCATTTTCTTTAAAGTTGATGAATGTTTGAAGTAAAGAAAAGGAGAATGATGGAAATGCTGAGCAGATGATTGTGGAGCAGATGATCTGGTTCCCCACAACTGATTCCTGGTTTTCACAGACCGAGTTGCTGAAATTTGCACCATTTAAGATTCTGATGTTAACTAACTTGTCATGTTATTAATGCTGAACTATCTTCACCCAGTGCATTAAATACATGTTCATTTTCAACATTTTCTGTTTTTATTTTTGACTCCAGGACTGATTAAGGATAGTCAGCCTGGTTTTGTGTGAGGAAAATCATATCTGTCAAACTTTGTTGGAGTTTTTTTAGTGAAATAACTAAAACGATTGAGAGCGTAGTAGTAGACATTGTTTATTTGGTCAAAAACAAAGTTGCTGGAAAAGCTCAGC